ATACTGTATATATATATAAAACTAAAATAAATATAACGCTCCTACTTCACAGATTTTCGCCTATCGCAGAGGTGTCTGGAGCATAACCCCCGTGATCTGCATTGAAAATGTTAGAACTGATCATAGCAGAAATTTATTATTCTGAATCCTCAGGACGTTGTTTTCTGTTGCACCACAGGTCTGAGTAACATCATCGGCGTGATCGTCTACATCTCCGCTGCACTGGGGGACATTTCACCAAAGAAAGACGAGGACAAGAAATGGCAGTATTCGTATGGGTGGTCCTTTTACTTTGGAGGTCTGTCCTTCATCATGGCCGAGATGGTGGGGGTGCTGGCAGTCAACATCTACATTGAAAAGAACAAGGAGCTCCGCTGCCGCTCCCGCACCGACATCTTCAAGAGCACCACGCACGCCATGCTCCGCCTGCCCAGCTACCGCTTCCGCCGCCGCTCCCGCTCCTCCTCGCGCTCCACCGACCCCTCCCGTTCCCGTGACCCTTCACCCGTCGGAGGTGGGGGTAAGAACTTTGGCCTACCCCCATCGGCGCTGCTCTCCCAGGGCCCCATTTCGGTGTCCACCCTGCCCAACCCTCACTCCCGCTCCCACACAGCCCTGGGCGGCGACATCTCCCTCTACACGCTGTCCCGTGACCCCAAACTAGGGGGGTTGCCGCCCATGTATGGAACTGTAGACAGGGCCACGCTCTACCAGCTTCACAACTGCTTCCCCAAGGATGGTGGTGGAGGGGGGTTGATGATGAGCGGCACGCTACCCTCCCTCAAGTCCCACAACCCTGCCAACTCTTCCAACTCTAATGCACAGATGGCCAACTCTGTGGGCTCCGGCCCCCCACCGTTCACGTCATCCTCAGTGGACAGGGAGCGAGGCATGGGGACTCTGGACAGGTTGAAGGGAGACAGGGAGAGCAACTCCAACACCCTTAACAGGAAGACGACTCCTGTGTAGAGGGAGGGGCGGAGAAAGGGAGAGGAAGGTGATGATGAAAAGGAAGAATGGAAATTTGGAACTCTCCCTCCATGTTCACCGTTATTTATCCTCACCGAGAAGAAACAACACAGTAATAACAGAAAGATAATAACAACAACAATGAACCTTTACAATAAAACTATTTTGATATTTTAATGTGCTAGAAAAGATTTATTTTAATAAAAATCAAACGCAATTAACACGCGCTAATATAACGTTTCACTTAATCTCCATGCAATATTACAGCTAATTTAACCATCATCAGCGTAAATTGTTGTTGTGATTATTCTTGGTGTTATTACCAACTAGCTGTGTTTGCAAACACTGGTTTGGAATGAAACTTTAATTTTTCTCATTTTATTTCTCACAAACATTCGATGTCTACGACTTTTACTGTGAATTCTTCCATGCAGAGCCGCTGAGACGACGGCCGGTGAGCTGTGTGTCAAAACGTCAAGTGTGTGTGGGTGTGAGTGTGGGTACGAAACATGAGACAACGAGAGTCTGTTTTTTTTTTTGTTTGTTTGTTTTTTTCAGTCCTCAACATTCTAAAACTTTCATTTCCAAAATGAAGTCAGATGTGAATACTGTAAATTGTCTTCCAATAACTGAACTTAAAAGAAATGCAACAGTACCGTGAGTGGCTGAGACAACTCACAGGTGTCATTTGTTCGTACCAGTCCGGGTTTTTCTACAGGCCTCTGTCAGTCCTAACTCCATCCCGATCAGTGTGAACAGTAGTACTTGTAGCTTTATTGTGTTGAAGATGTTTGTTCTTGGGGCATTACCAGAAACCTCTGACTGAGGTGGGTTATCAGAGAAGAAAAAAAAAACCTCTAAATATGTTTGTACAGAATCAGGGGGTGATTGCTTCCAGAGGAGGAAAAAATACAGAATTAATTTTTTTAACTATTATTATTTTTACAAAAAGTCCCAAAGTGACATGTGCAAATCATCATTTTCACTTGCAAAAACAATAATAATAATTTAAAAAAACATGTATGTGGGTTAAAAAGAAAAAAACTATAGAGAATAGCTTCTACAATCTACATTGTAATTTATGCCTTCATCTGTTTGTAAAGTATTTTAAAGCCGCTACATTTTGGAACCATTTTTTGTGCTTTTGGGCAAGTGGTTTGAGTCACTGGACTCCTGCTGTTTGGTTTCATCCGGCCAAACTTTCCAATTTCCCTCATATTTGGTCACAAGTGCCCCCCACCCCCCTTCCCCTCCATTTATTCACATCTCTAGCTGCAGTTTTATCACAGACAGACCTTTAATTTCCCCAAAGACTCTGTTCACTGTGCTTGCCGACTCCTGAGTGTGACCTGTTCATGTTGAAGTGAATGTAAGCCACCCCCCACATCACCCCCCCCCCACCCACCCACCCTCGGTCAATCCCAACTCTTCTTCTTTGAGTCTGTCCTGAGCGACAGACTGCAGATCCAGGTCTAAACCTGCTACATGGTCAAATGAAGAAATTACGTTTATCAGATGCTTCCAGATTCTTTAATCTTGTTTTTGGTTTTTTTTTATTTCATTTCAGAAAAAGAACAGATGTGACTAAACTGCACACAGACAGCATTTATGTGGGCAATATAAATAATATGTAGTTGAGAATAGATCAATCTAGACAAAAAGATGATTATGGTTTATCTAAATGTGTGATAAACACTGTATTGCACGAAGTTTATAAAAAAATCTATAACATTTTCACAGACTTCTGTCTTTTCTTACATATACCGCTTATTTCTTGTGAGACGTGAACATGTTCGTGAACCATTTGCACAGAATGAAAATCCTATAACTTCTTTAAATGAAGACAAAAATTCTAATGTATATAAATACAATTTTATATTATAATTATTGTCTATGATGGATTATTAGGGTCACGTTAATAAAAATAATTAAATTACGAGAAAAAGTCATGAAATTACGAGAATAAAGTCGTACGACAATTAAGTCATAATATTATGAGATTAAAGTCATACAAGTATAAAGTCATGGGCAGCACGGTGGCGCAACTGGTAGAGCTGCTGCCTCTCAGCGAGTTGGTCCCTGGTTCAAATCCCGGTCCAGGAGCCTTTCTGGGTGGAGTTTGCATGTTCTCGTCATGCATGCATGGGTTTTCTCCGGGTACTCTGGTTTCCTCCCACAGACCAAAAACATGCATGTTAGACTGACTTGTAACTCTAAATTGACCCTAGGTGTGTGAGAGAGAGAGTGAATGGTTGTTTGTCTTGTCTCTGTGTGTCCTTGTGATGGACTTGCGACCCGTCCAGGGTGTACCCTGCCCCTTGCACAGTGATTGCTGGACATAGGCACCGGCGACCCCCGTGACCCAAAATGGAAAAGGGTAAAAGATAATGGATGGATGAAGTATAAAGTCATAATATTACTAGAATAAAGTTGTATGAGAATGAAGTCGAAATATTACGAGAATAAAGTCATAGTATTACGATAATAAAGTCATAATATTATGAGAATAAAGTCATACAAGAATAAAATCATAATATTACTAGAATAAAGTCATACGAGAATAAAGTCCAAATAATATGAGAATAGAGTCATACAAGTATAAAGTCATAATATTAGTAGAATAAAGTCATACGAGAATAAAGTCAAAATATTACGAGAATAAAGTCATAGTATTACAAGAATAAAGTCAAACTAATACGAGAATAAAGTCATAACATTACGAGAATAAAGTCGTACAAGAATAAAGTCATAATATTACAAGAATAAAGTCATGGTATTACTAGAATAAAGTCGTACAAGAATAAAGTCGAAATATTACAAGAATAAAGTCAGTATTACGAGAATAAAGTCATATGAGAATAAAGTAAAAATAATACGAGAATAGTCATAGTATTACGAGAGTAAAGTCATATCATTACAAGAATAAAGTTGTAGTATTACAAGAATAAAGTCAATACTACAAGAATAAAGTCGTACGAGAATAAAGTCAAAATAATATGATAATAAAGTCATGATATTACGAGAATAAAGTCGTATAAGAATAAAGTCATAATATTACAAGAATAAAGTCATAATATTACGAGAATAAACTTGTAATATTACCAGAAAAGTCGTTTTCAAATTTAAAAAACAGCTTTGAATTTCTCCGAAACAGACATAGTTGTTTGCACAGTTTCAAAGTCCTGATACTGATAATAATCTAATGCTGATGTGCTAACAGATTAAGTATTTCCTTATTTGTAAAACCAGTACCAAAGTATAACTTAACAAGATGCTCAACATTCATCATTTTACTGCAGATTTAAGATTGCTTTTTCATGACGGAGTTCTGATAATATTATGACTTTATTATGGGAATATTACGACTTTATTCTCCTATAATTTCGACTTAATTCTCGTACGACTTTTTTCTCCTAATATTACAAATTTATTCTTGTAATACTATGACTTTATTCTCCTAATATTATGACTTCATTCTCGTACTATTTCAACTTTATTCTTGTACAACTTTATTCTTGTAATATTAAGAATTTATTCTCGTAATACTACAACTTCATTCTCGTATTATTTCGACTTTATTCTTGTAATATTACAAATTTATTCTCGTAATACTATGACTTTATTCTCGTAATACTACAAATTTATTCTCGTATTATTTCAACTTTATTCTCGTACGACTTTATTCTCGTAATATTAAGAATTTGTTCTTGTAATACTACGACTTTATTCTTGTAATACTACAACTTTATTCTTGCAATATTTCGACTTGAGTCTCGTACAACTTTATTCTCGCAACATTATGAATTTATTCTCATGACACTACGACTTTATTCTCGTAATACTACAGATTTATTCTTGTATTATTTCAACTTTATTTTCGTATGACTTTATTCTGGTAATATTACAAATTTATTCTAGTAATACTACGACTTTATTTTCGTAATATTTCGACTTTATTCTCGTAAAAATTTATTCTCGTAATACAATGACTTTATTCTCGTAATATTTTGACTATTCTTGTAATACTACAACTTTATTCTCATAATATTACAAATTTATTTTTGTGATACTATGACTTTATTCTCGTAATTTTATGACTTTTTTTCTCGTAATGTAATTTTTTTTATTAGCATGGCATTAATACTCCATCATAATTTTCATATAAAAAAAAAAAGGAAACCTTTTTTGGTCCTGAAATGATTCATGTTAAAGTCACATTAAAATGTAATTATTGCAGAAAAATAAATTATATGCACATCACAATAAACACAACATATACAGTATAAGTAAAGGTCTTCCTTGTTTAAGCAAGATATTGCCAAACTAAAATCTGTAATGTTACAACAGCATGATAAAACCATGCCGAACTAACAGAATAAGTAATAGGTTTAAAATATTTACAAAGCGGCATCTCTGGTTTTCAACAAATGGATGTTTGATATTAAGAAAAGAGGTGACGCAACACATAAATACTAAAACATCACTGTGCTAAAATAAACATACAATATTCAGTTTAATATGATTTGGTAAATTGTTTGATCTTCAGTTAAATCCATTGTTTAAATTATTTGGAAAAACCATATGTTTTACCAAAACACAAAGTTTGTTTTCTCAGTTATCCAGGTATATAACAACAAAAAAGGTTGAATCATGTCATCTGGACTTCGTTTTTTTGTTAAAAAGAAACGTTTCGCCCCTCATCCAAGAGGCTTCGTCAGTCTGAGGCCTAGCCATCTGGTATTACCCAGAAGCCACCCTGACTCTTGTGTTCCAAGCCTGCCTCAGATACCCCTGAAGTCTGGCTCTCTCACAAGTCTGGATGAGGGGCGAAACGTTTCTTTTTAACAAAAAAACGAAGTCCAGATGACATGATTCAACCTTTTTTGTTGTTCATATGTTTTACCATTTTTGTTAGTTTTGGTGTAAGTTTTTATGGTTGAAGCATGTTTGTACATGACAAAAACTAGTTGCAGTTTATATTCCTGTATTTCACACAGTCCAGCATTTTCAGTGTTTTCTGCTTGTTGCTTCACGTTTGTGCAGCGTTTGAAACAACTGGACCCTCAACACGAATAAGTGATGCCACGGTCTCATATGAAAACAACAGAAGTGCAATACAGGAAATCAGAAACTTGTTGATTAAAATGTAGAAAATATAATATTTTTGTGTAACAATAAAACCGATCTTGATTTAAAGCTTTGCGAGGCAAGATTGTGATATTT